ACTTTCATTATTTCATCTGTTATGACTGGTGCAAATAAATAGAACGAATTAGAATCAATAGAGCAGCTCTCTGTTTGAGAGAATATTAAAATAGAAATCACACCGTACACCCATCAGTGCTTCAATCACCTGAACACATTCTACTGTGTCCTCAACCCACATCTGTTCACTCTCTCATCTGTCCTCTTCTGTCACTTTCTCTGTGTCTGTTGTCTGTTGCTGTCTCAGGTTCTTCTTTGTTACTGTCTCCTTTGTCTGTTCTCTTCAGTTATGGCCTGTTCTGTTCTTCTGGTGTCTCTCTCCATCATATATTCTTCTGTTGCTGTCTCTGTGTCTTGTCTGGTGTCTCTCTCCATCATATATTCTTCTGTTGCTGTCTCTGTGTCTTGTCTGGTGTCTCTCTCCATCATATATTCTTCTGTTGCTGTCTCTGTGTCTTGTCTGGTGTCTCTCTCCATCATATATTCTTCTGTTGCTGTCTCTGTGTCTTGTCTGGTGTCTCTCTCCATCATATATTCTTCTGTTGCTGTCTCTGTGTCTTGTCTGGTGTCTCTGTGTACTGTATACTGACATGACCAGGGCAACTCAACTGTAAAGAAAAACGTAAGTGCCCAAATAACAGCAACACAAATCCAAACATAATATATAAGAAGCTACATAGCCCATAGGCCAGGGGTATTCAACTCTTCCCTACGAGGACCGGAGTCTGCTGGTGTTCTGTTCTATCTAATAATTAATTGCACTCACATGGTGTGCCAGGTGTAAATCAGTCCCTGATTAGAGGGCAACAATAAAAAATAAAAAAAGCAGTGGAACTGGCTTCAAGGTCCAGAGTTGAGTTTGAGGGCCCTAAACTATATGAATATAAAGAGAACTGAGCCAAAAAAAAAAGAAAAAAATACCTGTAGAATGGAATACGTTATTAGACCTCAATGATTCATTTCATTTCTGCTTCTGTATCAGCTAATGTGAGATTTTTAACATTTGAGGACACATAAATTAAAGGACCTATGTATTTTCAATGTTTTGTTCAATTACAATCTAACCACAAAGCTGGACATATTTCCCCCTGTCTTTCTGCCTGTCCTCCCCGTTCCCTCTCTGAGTTCATGTTCAAGTTTGTTTGTCACATACACATGATATACAGTGTCTTCGGAAAGTATTCAGACCCCTTGACCTTCTCCGAATTCTGTTACGTCAGCCTTATTCTAAAATGGATTAAATAAAATAAAAATCCTCAGCAATCAACACACAATACCCTATAATGACAAAGAGAAAACAGGTTTTTAGAAATTTTTGCAAATGTATTAAAATAAAAATAACAGAAATTCCTTATTTACATAAGTATTCAGACCCTTTGCTATGAGACTTGAAATTGAGCTCAGGTCAATCAATCAATCAAATGTATTTATAAAGTCCTTTTTACATCAGCAGATGTCACAAAGTGCTATACAGAAACCCATTAAGGCCAGATTTTTCTCCAAGATGTTCAAACGTTCATAGATGACCAGCAGGGTCAAATAATAATCACAGTGGTTGTAGAGGTTGCAACAGGTCAGTACATCAGGAGTAAATGTCACCTGGCTTTTCATAGCCGGGCATTTAGAAGTTGAAATAGCAGGTGCGGTAGAGAGAGAGAGTTGAAAACAGCAGGTCCGGGACAAGGTAGCACGTCCGGTGAACAGGTCAGGGTTCCATAGCCGCAGGCTGAAGAGTGGAAACTGGAGCAGCAGCACGACCAGGTGGACTGGGGACAGCCAGGAGTCATCAGGCCAGGTAGTCCTGAGGCAGGTGCATCCTGTTTCCATTGATCATCCTTGAGATGTTTCTACAACTTGATTGGAGACCACCTGTGGTAAATTCAATTGATTTGACATGATTTGAAAAGGCACATAAGGTCCCACAGTTGACAATGCATGTCACAGCAAAAACCAAGCCATGAGGTCTAAGGAATTGTCCGTAGAGCTCCGAGACAGAATTGTGTCGAGGGCACAGATCTGGGGAAGGGTACCAAAAAATGTATGCAGCATTGAAGGTCCACAAGAACACAGTGGCCTCCATCATTCTTAAATGGAAGACGTTTGGAACCACCAAGACTTTTCCTAGAGCTGGCCGCCTGGCCAAACTGAGGAATCGCGGGAGAGGGGCCTTGGTCAGGGAGGTGGTCACTCTGACAGAGACATTTAACTCTTTGTTTGAACTCTTTGGCCTGAATGCCAAGCGTCACGTCTGGAGGAAACCCGGCACCATCCCTACATTGAAGCATGGTGACGGCAGCATCATGATGTGGGAATGTTTTCAGCGGCAGGGACTGGGAGACTAGTCAGGATCGAGGGAAAGATGAACGGAGCAAAGTACAGAGAGATCCTTGATGAAATCCTGCTCCAGAGCGCTCAGGACCTCAGACTGGGGCGAAGGTTCACCTTCCAACAGGACAACGACCCTAAGCACACAGCCAGGACAACACAGGAGTGGCTTCAGGACAAGTCTCTGAATGTCCTTGAGTGGCCCAGCCAGAGCCCGGACTTGAACCCAATCGAACATCCCTGGAGAGACCTGAAAATAGCTGTCAGCAACACTCCACATCCAACCTGACAGAGCTTGAGAGGATATGCAGAGAAGAATGGGAGAATCTCCCCAAATCCAGGTGACTGTAATCACTGCCAAAGGTGCTTCAACAAAATACTGAGTAAAATGTCTGAATACTTATGTACAGTGGGGAAAAAAAGTATTTAGTCAGCAACCAATTGTGCAAGTTCTCCCACTTAAAAAGATGAGAGAGGCCTGTAATTTTCATCATAGGTACACGTCAACTATGACAGACAAATTGAGGAAAAAATATCCAGAAAATCACATTGTAGTATTTTTTATGAATTTATTTGCAAATTATGGTGGAAAATAAGTATTTGGTCAATAACAAAAGTTTTTCAATACTTTGTTATATACCCTTTGTTGGCAATGACACAGGTCAAACGTTTTCTGTAAGTTTTCACAAGGTTTTCACACACTGTTGCTGGTATTTTGGCCCATTCCTCCATGCAGATCTCCTCTAGAGCAGTGATGTTTTGGGGCTGTCGCTGGGCAACACGGACTTTCAACTCCCTCCAAAGATTTTCCATGGGGTTGAGATCTGGAGACTGGCTAGGCCACTCCAGGACCTTGAAATGCTTCTTACGAAGCCACTCCTTCGTTGCCCGGGCGGTGTGTTTGGGATCATTGTCATGCTGAAAGACTGTGTTTGGGATCATTGTCATGCTGAAAGACCCAGCCACATTTAATCTTCAATGCCCTTGCTGATGGAAGGAGGTTTTCACTCAAAATCTCACGATACATGGCCCCATTCATTCTTTCCTTTACACGGATCAGTCGTCCTGGTCCCTTTGCAGAAAAACAGCCCCAAAGCATGATGTTTCCACCCCCATGCTTCACAGTAGGTATGGTGTTCTTTGGATGCAACTCAGCATTCTTTGTCCTCCAAACACGACGAGTTGAGTTTTTACCAAAAAGTTATATTTTGGTTTCATCTGACCATATGACATTCTCCCAATCCTCTTCTGGATCATCCAAATGCACTCTAGCAAACTTCAGACGGGCCTGGACATGTACTGGCTTAAGCAGGGGGACACGTCTAGCACTGCAGGATTTGAGTCCCTGGCGGCGTAGTGTGTTACTGATGGTAGGCTTTGTTACTTTGGTCCCAGCTCTCTGCAGGTCATTCACTAGGTTCCCCCGTGTGGTTCTGGGATTTTTGCTCACCGTTCTTGTGATCATTTTGACCCCACGGGGTGAGATCTTGCGTGGAGCCCCAGATCGAGGGAGATTATCAGTAGTCTTGTATGTCTTCCATTTCCTAATAATTGCTCCCACAGTTGATTTCTTCAAACCAAGCTGCTTACCTATTGCAGATTCAGTCTTCCCAGCCTGGTGCAGGTCTACAATTTTGTTTCTGGTGTCCTTTGACAGCTCTTTGGTCTTGGCCATAGTGGAGTTTGGAGTGTGACTGTTTGAGGTTGTGGACAGGTGTCTTTTATACTGATAACAAGTTCAAACAGGTGCCATTAATACAGGTAACAAGTGGAGGACAGAGGAGCCTCTTAAAGAAGAAGTTACAGGTCTGTGAGAGCCAGAATTCTTGCTTGTTTGTAGGTGACCAAATACTTATTTTCCACCATAATTTGCAAATAAATTCATAAAAAATCCTACAATGTGATTTTCTGGATTTTTTTTCCTCAATTTGTCTGTCATAGTTGCCGTGTACCTATGATGAAAATTACAGGCCTCTCTCATCTTTTTAAGTGGGAGAACCTGCACAATTGGTGGCTGACTAAATACTTTTTTTCCCCACTGTAAGTGTGATATTTTCAGTTTTCTTTTTATTATAATTTAGCAAAAAAATAACCTGTGGCTAACTCTGCTGCGGCGGATTACTTTCTGTCTTGTCCTGCTCTCTCCACCTCATTCACTGCTCAATGTGTTCAACTTGCTTGCTTTTTGTGCCTCTATTTTGGAAGAAGTTCAGAATATCCATATTTGCTCTGCGCTATGCTGCAGACTGAGTGACAGGCGTTACTGAGTGATGACATTGACATCTAACCGGCGCTGCAGGGGGTGGGGGAGGGGTCAAGGGTCCACTGCATTGTGAAATTACAGCAGTCACTCCAGGGCTTCTTGTTACTGCCTAGTGCAGTATATTCGGTTGTTTATTTTTGTCTTTAAAAAATGTGTGAGTAAAAACATTACTTTCTTTTTACACTGCATAGCGCAATTGATGTAATGTGTGGTTATGGAAACTCAAATCAGACTGGATGAAATAAAATAAAAAGACTAGTTCTTAAAAACGAATTGTCATTGTCAGTATGAAAAAAATAAAAATAATTATGCACTCACCAACTGTAAGTCGCTCTGGATAAGAGCGTCTGCTAAATGACTAAAAATGTATATGTCATTGTTCTACTCCTGTCTAACCCTCCATCCTACGTCCTGTGTTCCAGATCGAGGATATGCAGTGGCCTAATGGACAGACAGAGATCCCCAGCTCTGTGTGCAGTCTGCCCTGCAGGACAGGAGAGAGGAAGAAGACAGTGAAAGGCATGCCGTGTTGCTGGCACTGTGAACCCTGTGATGGTTACCAGTACCAGTATGATGAAACATCCTGCAAGCTGTGCTCCTACAGCATGAGGCCCGACCCAAACAGGTGACAGACAGCAACACTATATAAATAAATCTAGGGGTTGCAAAATTCCACAAACGTTCCCAAAATTCCCAGGTTTTCTTCAACCGGGATTTCTGGAAAACCTGGGAATATTGGGAAAGTTTCAGGTATTTTTCAACCCTAGATAATTCTATAACATTTTAGTGCCATCCTTCATAGTATAAAATATATTTATAGTACGGTACTGCTAGTCTTGTCCTCTGTATGTGTATTTTCTAAATTGTCAAATAAACTTACTTAATCAATCAATCTATCAACAGGACGGCATGTCAGCCCATCCCCATTGTGAAGCTGGAGTGGCACTCCCCTTGGGCAGTGATCCCCGTCTTCCTCGCCATGCTGGGCATCATCGCCACCATCTTCGTAATGGCAACCTTCGTCCGCTACAACGACACGCCAATCGTCCGTGCGTCGGGCCGTGAGCTGAGCTACGTCCTCCTCACCGGGATCTTCCTCTGTTACGTCATCACCTTCCTCATGATCGCCAAGCCCGACGTCGCCGTCTGCTCGTTCCGCCGGATCTTCCTGGGTCTGGGCATGTGCATCAGCTACGCCGCGTTACTCACCAAGACCAACCGGATCTACCGGATCTTTAAAGACGGTAAGAAGTCGGTGACGGCACCCAGGCTGATCAGCCCGACCTCCCAGCTGGCCATCACCTCTTCCCTAATTTCCGCTCAGCTCCTGGGCGTGTTCGTCTGGTTCGGTGTGGATCCCCCCAACGCCGTCGTCGACTACGACGAACAGAAGACCATCAACTCAGAACAGGCTAGAGGAGTGTTGAAATGTGACATCACGGACCTGCAGATGATATGCTCGCTGGGTTATAGCATCCTGCTCATGGTCACGTGTACGGTGTACGCCATCAAGACGCGGGGTGTCCCGGAGAACTTCAATGAGGCTAAACCCATTGGGTTCACCATGTATACCACCTGTATAGTCTGGCTAGCCTTCATACCCATTTTCTTTGGGACAGCACAGTCCGCAGAAAAGGTAAGGTTGTGATTTCATATTGTTTCCTATTATTATCATAATGGGCCGGTTTCCAGGACCCAAATGAAGTCTAGTCCTGGACAAAAAACAATTAAAAAAATAAGACTATTCTCCATTGAAAGTGCTTCTTAGTCCGAGACTAGGTTTAAGCTTTGTCTGGGTAACCGGTCGATTAAGTCATATTGCTTTCACACTTTAATACTGGTTGTACCAAAAATGCCAATCCAAGTCTTGACAAATGAGACAAAACCGTTGATTTTATATGTGACCGGTTACAGTATCTGAGGAATTACACGCCACTTCCTACTTCACAGTAGGGCCATTATTTCTTCGTATTTTTTGCAGAAGTGCCTTCTTGAACACGTGCCTTAATTACAAACTTGTATGGGATCCGTAAATATGAATAAAAATGTTAAATTATGAGCCTGGTTTAGCCAAGGAGAAAGCACTGTGCTATACAGGGAGAAAGACCGGATCCTTCCTGGCTAGTCATGATTGGCTGAGATAATGGTGTTGTTGGACATGCCGAGAGATACGTCCTGATTGGTCTGTCATGTCACAGGCTTCTGTCTATAATGGAATGGGGGATTCCCTGGTCAGTATATAGATAATCTTTGCTACTGCAGATATTTGGAAATATATAGCCATGGATAACTGTAAAAGTGTTGCTACAGCTCTCAAAAACATGGCTAAGAATTTAGACAATACCATGCTGACTCACCTGTGTTTACATGTGTGGGTGGGAGGGGCTAAGGTTTAAGAGCTGGGTGGGGTTAAGGTTTAAGAGATGGGTGGGGCTAAGGCTTTAGAGATGGGTGGGGCTAAGGCTTTAGAGATGGGTGGGACTAAGGCTTTAGAGATGGGTGGGGCTAAGGCTTTAGAGATGGGTGGGGCTAAGGCTTTAGAGATGGGTGGGGCTAAGGCTTTAGAGATGGGTGGGACTAAGGCTTTAGAGATGGGTGGGGCTTTAGAGATGGGTGGGGCTAAGGCTTTAGAGATGGGTGGGACTAAGGCTTTAGAGATGGGTGGGGCTTTAGAGATGGGTGGGGCTAAGGCTTTAGAGATGGGTGGGGCTAAGGCTTTAGAGATGGGTGGGGCTTTAGAGATGGGTGTGGCTAAAGCTTTAGAGATGGGTGGCGCTAAAGCTTTAGAGATGGGTGGGACTAAGGCTTTAGAGATTGGTAGGGCTAAGGCTTTAGAGATGGGTGGGGCTAAGGCTTTAGAGATGGGTGGGGCTAAGGCTTTAGAGATGGGTGGGGCTAAGGCTTTAGAGATGGGTGGGGCTAAAGCTTTAGAGATGGGTGGGACTAAGGCTTTAGAATGATGATGCTGAATCGGATGTAAACAACAAAGTCTTTCAAAGGGAATTTAATTTAATTTAATATAATTGTCTCTTAAATGCAAAAGCAAGTTCATCAGCTTTTAAAGCAGCACGACTTTCCCATGTTTCCCTCAACTACAGTGTATGATACACCATTTTGAAGCTCTGAGTCTATACTTTATCAAATGTAAAAACAAGCAAATAACTTACATTTGCTATTAGCCTCAATAGAGAAATCCAGACAGATATGGCATATTGATGTGCGCCTCCATGTCCAAGCCATTTACAGTCTGATGTCGTTATAATTGGCCTGTTTGCCAGCTGAAGGCAATCTAGACTCTCTTTAACCTCTGTTGCTATAAGAGGATCAGCCATTGCTAATGCACGGCTGTGTCCCAAATGTCATCCCGTTCCCTTTATAGTGTACTACTTTTGACCCGGGCCCATATTGCTTTTTTGGGATGCAGCCTGTGTCGGGAAATTTGCATAAATAATAAGATATAATATAAAAAAAAACGATTTAATTTCTCAGTTCAGGATTACGGTGTAAGTTAATGACTGCTCAATGTGTTTCTACATGAATATGAAATACATTTCATTATCTGACGTTTTGTCACCATGGTCATTTGTCTTTCTTGACCACTAGCTGTGTTTGTGCTCTCGTCTTTCTAGTTGGCCGTAAAAGCAATTATTTGTGGGGAAAACTACCCTTGGGTATGATGTGGAATACAGGTGTTGGGAAGCTGACCGTGTGATTGCATTGTACAATCCAATCACAGTGTAATCAGAGACTCAGTTTAATTGCTGAGAGAAACCATCTGTTTTATCAGTGTTACAATAAATACCCTTACTATCAGTGGCAGACTGGCCTTCTGGCATTTCGGGCAAATGCCAGACGGACTGGTCCATTTTTAACCTAGTGAGCCTGTTTAAATTGTTAGTTTTTTTTGCGCAAAATGATCATTAGCAAATAATGTGGGCCTCAAGGAATAAAATGGGCCAGTGTGGGGACCTCAAGGAATAAAATGGGCCACTGTGTTAGAAATGCCAGAGCCGATTTCCGGTCCTGGTCCGCCCCTGCTTACTATTGTATTTAGCGTTTCCCAAATTCTTTGGTGTACAAACGACTTAAGTGCATCCGGAAAATAGGTGTTAGAAATGTAGCCCGAAGCGCAACAGAAAGGGGTTGAGAAACTAAAACGATTGTGCCTTTTACAAATTCCGCCGACAAATACCAAAAGGATTTTACAGTGCAGCTGAAGGCCGGCTGAGTCTAGCGAAAACGCCAATGGTTTGGAACAATGTGTACCACAGCTCCAAAGCAAACAGCTGCTGCTATGCTATGCTAGCGGTGGTGCTATTACCTGCGTGTCCCTGGAGCTGTAGACTTCATCTGCAACCCCTATGTATTCCCCATATCTACACTGAGTATACAAAACATTAGATAGACTGACCAGGTGAATCCAGGTGAAAGATATGATCCCACTTCAATCAGTGCAGATGAAAGAGAGGAGACAGGTTATAGAAGGATTTTTAAGCCCCCCCCCCCCCGAGACAATTTAGACAATGGGGTTGTGCATGTGTGTCATGCGGAGGGTGAGTGGGCAAAACATTTACGTGTCTTTGGTAGTAGGTGCCAGGCGCACCGGTTTGTGTCAAGAACTGCAACGCAGCTTGGTTTTTCACACTCAACAGTTTCCTGTGTGTATCATAAATGGTCTGCCACCCAAAGGACATCCAGCCAACTTGACAGAACCGTAGGAAGCATTGGAGTCAACATGGGCCAGCATCCCTGTGGAAACGATTTTCGACACTTTGTAGAGTCCATACCCTGACAAATTGAGGCTGTCCTGAGGGCAAAAGCGGGGGTGCAACTCAATATTAGGAAGGTGTTCCTAATGTTTGGTGTACTCAGTGTAATGCATTACATTTAACCAAGGCCCTATGGGTCCTGGTTAAAAGTAGTGCACTATAAAGGGAGTAGGATTTCATTTGGGAGCTGTATACTAAAGATGATGTACAGCTCTGGGAAGAGAAGAGGACGGCAGTCTCATCTGTCAAGGGGAGCAGTGTGTGTGTGCTGCTTTGTGCTGTGTGAGGCCTGACGTCAGCAGCCCAGCCCGGCAGAGTCCAGGCAGCAGGCAGGCACCCCCAGCCCCGGCAGAGCCCAGGCAGCAGGCAGGCACCCCCTGCCCCGGCAGAGCCCAGGCAGCAGGCAGGCACCCCCTGCCCCGGCAGAGTCCAGGCAGCAGGCAGGCACCCCCAGCCCCGGCAGAGCCCAGGCAGCAGGCTGGCACCCCCAGCCCCGGCAGAGCCCAGGCAGCAGGCAGGCACCCCCAGCCCCGGCAGAGCCCAGGCAGCAGGCTGGCACCCCCAGCCCCGGCAGAGCCCAGGCAGCAGGCTGGCACCCCCAGCCCCGGCAGAGTCCAGGCAACAGGCACCCCCAGCCCCGGCAGAGCCCAGGCAGCAGGCAGGCACCCCCTGCCCCGGCAGAGCCCAGGCAGCAGGCTAGCACCCCCAGCCCCGGCAGAGAGGAATTGTGACACACTGGTCTTTGCTGCTTGTCGTTACTAACCTGGCTGATGATGACGATAGAGGGTCTGAAGAAAGGTGCTACTGGAAATACTATACTTTACAGTGAGCTCCAGAAGTATCAGGACAGCCCTTTGTATTGTAAATTATACAATCACTATGACGTTAAAGTGCAGACTGTCAGCTATAATTTGAGTATATTTTCATCCATATCGGGTGAACCGTTTATAAATTACAGCACTTTTTGTCCATAGTCCCCCCATTTTAGGGGACCAGAAGTACTGGGACAAATTCACTTATATGTGTATTAAAGTAGTAAAACGTTTAGTATTTGGTCCCATATTCATATGATTACATCAAGCTTGTTACTCTACAAACTTGTTGGATGCATTTGCTGTTTGTTTTGGTTGTGTTTCAGATTATTTTGTGCCCAATAGAAATGTATGGTAAATAATGTATTGTGTCATTTTGGAGTCACTTTTATTGTAAATAAGAATAGAATATGTTTCTAAACACTTCTACATTAATGTGGATCCTACCATGATTACGGATAGTCCTGAAGGAATCGTGAATAATGATGAGTGAAAAAGTTACAAATATCATGCCTCCAAGACATACTAACCTCTCACCATTACAATAAAGGCGGCCGCATGCTTCCCAGCCGAAACAGTTCGGAAGAGTTCATGCATATATTATGATGACATTTTGTGACGTTTCTGTTAGTTTTGGACTTCGGTGAGGGTTTTTTTCGGCTGTTCAGGCACTGTTCAGGCATTGTTTTCTGGAGGCAAGCCAAAGTTCGGAGCCGAAGTCTACTCCACTTCGTCAGTGATTGGTCAAGAGTAGGAATTCTTCAATAAAGTATTTGTTGTCATTCAACAAAAGACAACTTGTTTTCATGCACGTTTGTTCATTGAGAAATAATGCACCAAAAACCTTAGTTAGATGTAAAATTGTGTGACTAAGATCTCCTCGGCAAAAACGTCAAAATGAATGACACATTTCTTGAGATATCTTAGATTAATTCGGACTATTTTGAGGAAGTGTATACTGGCTACGGCGTCTCGAAATAGACAAACAGTACTATTGCTGCTTTTTTCTGGTTTTCCAGGCGAAGGTCTGTTAAGGGAGCATGGAGACTCGTTGGGTTTGTCTAGCCGAGTTTGGCTAGGTGCCAGCAGAACTGAAGCGTGCTGATACCTTAAAAGGGGAGGGGAGCATTTTTGTGGGGGTATGACATTTTATTCCTTTGTGAATATGGGACCAAATACTTTTTCTACTTGTATACACATGCTGTATAAGTGAATTTGTTCCCATACTTTTGGTCCTCTTAAAATTTCTAAACGGTTCACCCGATTTGGATAAGAATTACGCTCAAATTAAAGCTGACAGTATGCACTTTAACCTCCGTAGTCATTGCATCATTTAAAATCCAAAGTGCTAGAGTGCAGAGCCAAAACAACAACAAATTGTCACTGTTCAATATATAGAGTCAGGTCCATAATGATTCCCACCCTTAATAAAGATGAGGAAAAAAATACTATATATAAAATAAATAATACAAATACTGAGATGTATAATATGCTCCATTTTTTAAATATAATTCTGTTATTTTATACTAATATAATTGCTCAGAGAAATAGATTTTGTTTAACAAGTAATATTTTATTTTCTGAAAAAGATCGGGGTAAAAATGATTGCCACCCTTGTTTTCAAATACCTCGAGGATAACAGCCTTTTTCTAAAATGATTTATGAGATTGGAAAACACATTGGGAGGGATCTTAGACCATTCCCCCATACACAATCTTTCCAGATCCTTGATATCCTTCACCCAAATACAAACACATATGTGACTTGTTCTATCATAATCAGTCCCTTTGACCCCAAAACACATTTGGAGTTTTATACAGTGCTGGAAAGAC